GTGGGTAGGTTTGAAGCCGGACACCTTTCTTGCCTTCGTGTTTTTTGTGAATTATCGTTAAGCATAGTGTCCTGCTCTGACGATGTCTATCACATGAAGGACGACAGCTCCTCAAGGATTCATCGGGGTCGTAGGGCGGTGCGCCGAGATCTTATTTGCACAACTCTACTATAATAGCTCCAAGGCATTCCCCCCACAGCTTGCGGTGGAACCAACTTACGAATCCCTTCCACTCTCCTCTTCAAACGAAACTCAAAGGTACTCCAGCATCAGTCTATTAAGAGATTCTTCGAAACCCTGTTTTTCTACATAGGTAAATGATAATTTGGTGAATTCACATCTATTCATCACAGATTGGTCGACTTTTTCTCTTGATATACTGCGTTTAGTGACCAAAACATTATAAAAATACAAGGATTTTGATTGATCAATCGTCACTTCTAAGGTGTACACTCCTGCTATTTCCTCCAACGATCTTCATTTTTCATTTTTAGTGGTGAAAAATCATTCGTTTCGAGCAAGGGTGCCTATTTCCTTTTTTTCACAAAACTGATATGCGTTGGCACGTGTCTATGTTTGCGTTCTTTTAAGTACGTTATGTAAAATATTAGACTCCTTTCCCACTGGTCTGGTCACCATTAATTTTTCACTCATGCTCCTGAATGACAGAATACAGTCATGCGATTCCCATGCATATTTAACGGTTAGTTGAGCATATAAGTAGTGTAGACCATATCCCTTCATGCAACATTTGCCTTTATTTTATTGGATCGCATTTCAAATATTCTTGGTGGGTTTAGCCGACAGTATCTTCGAAAACGAATGGAACCATTAGCAGTTTCTACTGGGACAATATTTTACAGTTCCAACAAGGATGCAATTTTATGCAAATTATGGGAAATAACCTATTGATTTAATAAAAAAAATAATTTCTTAATTACTTTTTCATTTTTAAGCTTTAAGCCCCACCCCTTTTTTTGGCCACCCCTAAATCACTTTAGATACACTTTTTTACCTTTGTATATTTATTTGCATACTCTTTTTGTCGATGGTTGTCATGAATTTCTGGGTCAAGAGAACTTTCTAAATTATTTTTGGCCGAAAGCCGCCATGCGTCACTATTTAAAGGCCTCTATCTTGCAGCATTTGACCATTTTTGGGCAGGATACTCATCCAGCTTTTTCAATATTTGCTTAGACACCGCTCGTTCCAACCAACTAAACGTGAAGGCCATTGTAGATTTATACTTATAGTCATGCTTCCATTTCCTAAATTCTGTTGGCTGCGCACTTCCATGACTCCTACTTTATATGTGGTAAAGAGAGATGTATGTTTGTGTGAGAGGAGTAATGTACTTGAGCAAGAAATAAATAGATCTGGTTTTGCGGATTTTGTCTATTTGAATTAGACACTTGCCGGACGGCCTGTCTGAAAATAAATGTCGCTAGTTGCATAAGTTTGCAGTCTTGCTATTTCATCTATCCTCTTCCCTCCAACTGAAGCGAGCCTACAAAGCCGTTAACTTTTTACTAGCCTTTAATTACTTCTGGTGTTAGTTTGAAAAAGCATCAAATCGTTTGGATTGTGTTTTTCGCGCATCCTTTTCATCGAGTGTGCACACTTTTTCTACCTCCAAATGTGCTTATGTTGTTTGAAAATTTTTTACTTTTACAAGTCACTTCTGAAAATCTATAGGTTATTGGCTATTATTACCAGGCCTGGTTTTGGGGGCTGATACTTGCCCTTTTATCACCTAAACTAAAAATTTTCAAGACAAATGACGAAGGTTTATGTATGTCTAAATACATATTTATACATAATTAATTTAATGGATATCAAAATAAAGAAAAAAATCATCTTTCACTATAAGTTGCTATGTTTATTATATCAGTATTTCTTGATTAGGAAATTAGTAACACCTGGTCAGTTGAGGCGATTTAAGGATTGATAGTGGAGTTTTTTCACAATGCTATGCGATTCTAAACAAAGTTATGCGCGTAAGGTGATGGCACGTTATCACTACGTTACAGTTACTAGTGGGCTCTACTCAAAATATTGTGTAACAACTTTACACTCAGTCCGAAAATCATTTTAAACCACTTATGGTGATTAAGTTCTTATTCTCTTATTTATTATAGCATTAACTTGTACTCAACTCATCGTTGAGGTAATTTTGTGCTGATAATGATATAACGTCCTCTGTATTACGAACGATTATTTACATATGGCAATGATAAGCTTCAAAACTTATTCCATGGCTCATAATACATGCGTCTGAGATTTTAGTTTGCCCAATATTTCCTGTGCTTTAATAGTATTTAGACAAAAGTTATTTTCGTGAAATCTATTGATTTGAAATAGTTACAAATTGTCGCAAATTCTTAGGGCCAACAAAGCAAGCAGAGTGGCCGGCTTATCCTTATATGCTGTGCATATGGTCGAGTCTTACGCATTTTTTCACGTTATAGGGTGGTTTGTTTAGTTCATCCATTATTTCATTTAAGAGTTATGTGAATCCCTGCGCTTGTGTGTCCATGCGCATCTTTGTATATTTAATAATTAATGCAAAATTAAATTCCTGACGTGGATAATTTGATATTAAATTTAGAACCAGAAAGAAACCTTTTCTGGTATCCTGACCTTGCCTCGTAAAAAATTGGGGAGTAAACGCAGTTTCAGATGAAGCAGTTACTTTATTCAGTTATTTTTATTTTTCATGGAAACGGCCCATTCTTTTTATTAAGCTACTATAAAATAAATTTTTATACATGAATTGATATAAACATATTCATAGTGTCGATCGCATGTTAGCGAAACCTATCATCTCACGCGTATAATGCTTAAATGCCTCCCTTAGAGTCTGTTGTGCTCAATGATCATAGGCAGGGGAACACAAGGCAGAAAATGGACATATGATGTAACTGTTTCGAACTTATTGTTTTGCTGTCTATGGTTTGTCTTCTGTTAACCGCAAAATTAGAAGCCATAAAAAGCAACATACTAAAAATATTCTGATTAATTAGATTTCATAACTATCCTTAATTTTATTGTAGGAAATTCAACTATTAATTTTACAGCCCCTTAAGCGAGTCTAGGTGATTCATGCTCTTACTTAGGATCTACCTTTGATTTAAAGGCAACCTAATCTGAGTATAAAAACGCGGTCGATTTTAATGACAAATCGAACCTCGCCTTTTCAACACCAATCTTATTAGTACCCTTTGCCGTGTGATAGAGTGGTAAGATATCGCAACATGTGAACGACTTTGTTTCAACTCCTATTGTGGGTACTGATGAAGTCTGGGAAATGTTGAAACTAAATTATATCATGAATGATAAGGCATTTCGACAGGCAAGTTCTTCATATCCCTTCTTTATGTACTTTCCTTTGAAATGAAAGTCTCACCAACAAGACTCAGTGAGCTCCTTGTTGTTACTTTATTTCGTTCAAAAGTGTCTAAAGATGAGATTTATGGCTCAATCTCGCTAGAAGACGGTGGCTGATTCCTGTTGCTCTACAGTCGTCTGGTTATTCTACAACGTTCAGGTTGACGCAGCCTAAACAGTATCCTTATTTGGCTTAAGTGAAAGTAGGCTGAACCTTTTTATAGGTATCGTCAAAGCTAAATATCATTCTTTCAAAAGCTCCAACTGAAGGCTATGTCAAAAGAACTGACCTGCTCTACCTGACATTCTATATATGCTCACTTTAAAAAGAATAGAAAACTAGATATAAAACGACTTGGTTAGTTCTTTTAATGTTAATCTAAGTGCTTTCATTTTTGAGTGCATGCTCACATGTGTCTGCATCTCTATGTGTGTTAACTAGAGTATGAAACCATCACTTCTAATAGCTCTGAGTAATTGCAATGGAGCCTAATGTCGGTACTAAATCATCAAGGTTTAATGAGCTAAGGAAAAGCTTGGCTTAGATTGCATTATTCCGGATCCGGGCCTGTTGTAATTACTCATAGTTCTGTTTGTCATTTCCTACCCTGACTTACACACGATCGAGCATAATCGTAATTCTGAACGGCTGGATTGGATCTTTTATGAGTCCTCCATTAGTAAATACTTTTCATACTGAACGCGAAATGAAAGACTAGTCTCAAATTAGGCATGCTGCTGCCCATAGTTCTTTAGTAGTAATCAGCTTTCTTCTGACTATTGGTACAATTAATCAAGCCTGGGTTTTTCCTGATCTTATTATTATTTTTGCTATTACTATTTATTATTATTTACTATGATAAGTAATTTAACGCGTAATGCCTTGGTGCTTGAATCATCCTTCTTCAAAACGCCCTGCCTATATTTTAGCCTCTTTTACCGAGTAAAAAGAAAACTGGAACTTGATCAAGCCATCTGCCAGACGAGCAGGATAATAATTTTAATATTGCTTGTAATTTGCCTTCAAGCACCATATTTTAACTCCTATAAACATAGTTTCAGTAACACTTGTTGTTTGATTATACTTCCTATGCACTAATCTTGATTTGATTAATTGGAGATGTTTGCCACTTAGGACCCCATGTTTGTGCTACCAAACATAGATTCGAGCGAAGATAAATTTTTGATTGATTTTATGAATCTTCAGAATTCCGACGAGATTCATAGCCGACTTGTGTGGTTGAACGGACAAATATTGTTTATATTCCTCCTGGACTTGATGCTCTGGAAGCTGAAGAAGTTAGTAATCTTATTCTAGCTATGCTTTAGAGGCCATCACATTGAAGCTAACAGTTGTAGTAAAAGATAGTAGAGATAGATCACTGCTATATTTAACATTTAGTGCTCATAGAACTCTTGATTTGATTTTGGCTAACTATTTATATGCCTTTGGTTTAGAGTGATCTTAATTATAAAAAATTCCAGGATTGAGGCTATTGTTGTATAGAGGATTCCAGATTTTGATCTGAAGAGGATTCAACTCCCGGCATTTTATTCGTCTACATTTTTTTATTCTCTTTTTTTCGTTAGACACACGCCTGAACCCCTTGGACATGACTCAAGAGGCTCCATTGGATCTACAGGTTCCCAGTAAAAAGCTCCGTCTAAATGAAGAACGAGTCCCTCTTTCTTTTGCTGAGACTATAGGCCACGAGGGTGCTTTCGCCTGCTCAGCATTCGATTCCTTCCCGCCTGCTTCGTGGCGGGCTCGACGTCTTCAGGCCTCTGCCGACCAGGGAATGCGTGGACTTTCATCTGCCCCTTATTCAGCTTTATCGAATGGATTCTGCGATTCACCCCTTGCACTTATTCCCCCAAATAGTGGGTCTCAAGCAGATTCAATTTCTGACATTTCGGCTTCTACAGCCGTCATCAAGTCTTCTGTTGGACACAAATGTTGGCAAACGATGGCTCCTCAAGTTAATTCTTCTACCTCTGATCACCAAACCTCCTTGTTAGACCCGAATCAAAATATTTTTGAAAAGGTAGCATCACCCTGCGGACAAGTAGAGTCAATTTGGCAAGCGGTTGCCCTCTGCCTTCTCATTTCACGGTCAGAAGCTATCAAAAAAGCACTCAGATCTGACTCTACAGGTCAAGATCCCAATTCAGATATTTTCATTCCGAACAAACTAGTCGACTATTCTTCGGTGATCTACGACATTATTAATCACCATCCTATTCTTTCTGATTCCTCCTCTCTTCCTATTACTCTTACTTCTTCTATCGATCACTCTCTTCTTCACTCTCCTCTACCACTACAACCGGACTTATTGTATCCAACCTCGGTCGATGGTTCCCATTCTCAGAATCTTCAACTACCCAAGGCAGTTCCTGTTTCTAGTCCTTTATCCGGTCTCGATCTGACAAAAGATCCATTTCCGTGCCCAAACACTAAAGCTGGGCTCATCTCGACCAATACTTTATCACCAGATGCATTACTTTATTTTTTGCGCAATCATAACTTTTTAGGCTCTTCTATATGCGAGAAGGCTGCCGACGGCTCAAATCCAGACATCTGGCCTCCAGAGTTACTAAGTGGAACCTGGCCATCATTAACAGAGAATAACGTCAACTTCGGACATAAAACTAACCATTCTAGCGACCTGGATCCAAATTGTAATATGTCTTCTAATCAAAGCGTGAGTGGCACTAAAAGGAAGAGCCATCTTCCCATTCGTCAGACCGAGGCCCTGTCTCTCAAAAGACAAGTTGTTCTCTCTCCCTCACTAGGATCTTCCTCATTATCGGGATGTGGACCGGGGAGTACCACCGGATTTGGAAATTGTTCTTCATCTTCCCAGAGATTCCTTCTTCCATCCGACAACCCGCATCGCCTTCAGATTGGATCAGCCTGTCCTCCAATTATTCTGCCTGCATGTGGTCCTATTGGCCTAAACCCAGCTTCATTAGCAGAATCGGATTGTGTGTGTTTCGAATCCGGAAAGAAATCGGTTTCGTTGGAAAACCAAGAAACTGGTGTTCATTATCAACACGGAGATTCATTTGGCTATAATTTAGACTCAGTATCGAGTCCTTCATCAAGTTTGTCTGGCCCTGTGTGTTCCGGACCCAGTAAGCCATGCTCTATGGGTCGAATAAGGGCGGCTGTCACTACTTCACCTCATCTTTGCCGAATGCAATCGAAGCCTGACGCCAGAGCGCTTGAGGATCGACCTCACGCAATCGATTCACCTGCCAAAGGAGCCCAGCTAATTCATCTCGGGCGGGCTTCATCCGGACCTTGTTGGAGCGAATCCAGTCCAAGCGTTCTGTCAGAGCCGGCCGTCTCAACAAAGGGGCGTCAGATTCCCACTTACTCGGTTTCAGGAGGACTGGATGGTTGTGCTGTCTGCCTACAAGCACGAGAGGAGCTTTTATCTGGCCTTAATCTAACTACAGACTTAAGTATGCCTTTAAATGGCGGTACGAAAGCCACGTCGCCGCTTCTACTCCAAGTAGGTTCTGAAATGTGACCGTTTTTTAACATTCTTATTTGAATTTATTTCTACTGTCGAACCAGCTTCCAATAATTAGGCTCAGCAGAGTGTTTTATACTACCTCTTCATTCTATTACATATTCTATCTAGCTGAATAAAATGTTGAAATAAATTCGATTAACAGTTTTTTTTACATGAACTGCGATACGACAATGTCAAGATGAAAATTTAGTGGTCAAGCGGTTTTGATAAGCATTTTCCATTTTTTATCTTGAGTTAAAGACGCTTACGCTTAGATATGCCTCTTGCCTCTTACTCCAAATTGATCGCGCTTGAATAACCGACTTACTGAATTAGCTAATGCTTTTGGACGTTTCTGAGTTTAGGCTTGGGCATAGCGAACTCTTAGTAATTGATTATCCGTTTCCCTAGTTTTAGGTAGTCAATTTTACAAAAATCTGACTTGAAAATGCTCATCATAAACTGGGCTAATTTTTACTTTCCCACGTTATTAAGCCGATGTCTACCTAGAACGATCAGGGGAAAAGTGCATTCCAACCTCAAATGAAGCATATTGAGACAGTTTTACTTGGTCTAAAAATTCATCTTCGCGCTTGTCCATAAATTAACTATCTCGTTG